CCTACATCAGCACACACATACCCTTTCTCCACCTGGCAAAATCCCAACTCCAATGGTGCGTCTTGTCCTATACCTTCCCTTTCTCTCCCTTTCTAGTTGCTCAGAGCAGCCGTATTCGTTCCATCAGTTGCAAAGCACATATCACACTGCAATATAGTCAGTTGTCACTTGGCTGCCATAAAGGGTCATTGTATAACTGGAAGATGCTTTGTGAGTAGGGAGTACAACTTCTGAAGCAGAGATGGCTACACGGAGCAGGAGTGGGCAGCACTCCTAGTTGGAGGGGCAAGCTCCTCTGGCCCAGCTCTCGTCGATACCCTGACAAGGGTGAGGTTCCCCTTCAATACTTGAGGTGCTCTTCTTTTCCTTTCTCAGGAAAGGTTTATTAACTCTGCCTTTGCCCTCCTTTCCCAAAGGCTCAGGAGATTCACTAGACACATGTGTTTGGTTACAACTCGCTCCCATTCCTCAGTGTGTCCTGTAAGAATTGGTCTTTTTCCTATGATCACTCCCAGACTTGCCATCCCCTGGCAGGCCTAAAGTTTAGGCCTGCTTGAAGTTTACTCCTGCAGCTTCTGTAAATGGAATATTTATCTTTTTTACTGAAAACAGAAAAAGCAGTGCAACTCTCAAGACAGGATCATTTACCCATCCTACTGAAGATAGTGTGTTCTAGAATACAACTCCCAAAACCTCTCTCAAGAAATTATTCTCAAAAGTTATGATTATGAAAATATTACTGAGAAAAAATGCTCTTTTATGTTCATAAATTGTCCTCAAAGCTTATGAGAAATGTGCACTTGGGAAAGACACGAGGAAATAGATAAATTAGTTAGATAATGAATAGGAAAATATCAAAACATTGTTAGGAAATGAGAAGCAGACCCTAATTTCAAAAGCCTGTAAATGTGTATATGACTTATAGTTGATAAATAGTAGGTCTTAGAATATGGCTTCTGTGTATTGCTTTGGTATTTTATCTTTTAGAATTTCTGTAGTTGTGTATGGTGATAATTTGGAGTGTGGTATATTCAAAATATTTGCCCCCAAAAGGGTCTATGGTGGAAAGCCTGCCTATTTTATAAAGTCATGTTTCCTGCAATGCCTATCAGCACAGAAGTCTCTAAAGGGAGTGAACATCTGGATCCAACTGGTGAGCTTTTCCAGCTACGTCTCTCCTCATCTAAATGGTTATATTTGTAAAATGGAAACAATCACAAATACATGGTGCAATGGAAAGAACACTATCCTGGAATTAGAAGGCTCCGGGTCTAGTTCCAGCTCAGGCAGTGATTAACCAATGTCACCTCTTTTAGCCTTAGTTTACTCACCCATAAAATAAAGTCATCCAAAAGAGGTTGGAACTAGAAGGGACTTTGGAGATTAGGGTGTGTCAACTTTTTAAATGGGGTGCGTATCCCCACTTCCAAGAGAATTTCACATAGTGACACTTTCTGAAATTTTGATTGTGGAAAACAATAAGTATGATAATTATACTTTTGCAAAACATATTTTATTCCTCACCCTTCTGATATCTATCTGCACTCCCAGTCCCAACCCCCACCCTCAGACAGTTGAGAACCATTGATTGAGGTGGTTGCAATTATTCCAGCCACTGTGGTGTATATTTTTGGTCCTGTCATTGTGTCTCATTCTTTCTTTAACTCCGGGTACCCTCAGGGTCTTTTTCCTTTCGCACTGAATCCATCCTTACTTAGGTCCCATTACCTCCTGGGCTGACTAAAGCTGCGCACTGTTCTGTCCTAAAAGCCTTTACTAACTTAAATTTTCTAAAGATGAGCTCCATGTATCTCATCTTCTCCTCCTCTGTTGCCCTTATCAAATTAAGTACACCTCATTGATCTGGATTTCTCTGTGTGGTTTCAGCTACCTTCCTAGCCTTACTTCATTCCTTATCCAGGACTATCCTGGGCTGTAGCCTAGATTACTCGGTGTTCCCTGAAGATAGCTCACATGTCACTACTCAGAGCCCCTCCCTCCTCCTCTACCTGTCAAAGCTCAACTCACCTTCCAAGATTCATCTCAACCTCTTTCCCTGACCTCTAAAATAGATATACTACCTCCCTTCTTTGAATGTCCATGGGATTTTGTTTATACTTAGCTATGTATTTGTCATACTTCATTGACAGTAAAAAGATTCTTGAGGATGGCACTTGTATTTTAGACAGCTTCATATGACCCAAAGAGCCTAATATAGAAGTGTTTTCAAACTTTGGACCATGCCCCACACCAAGATATATATTTACATTGTGATCTACTATACCCATGTGCGTAGGCATATTTATAATTAAAATAAAGCACTCATAACAGAATGCATATTCTTGTTACATTTCATGCACTCTGATATTTTCTCTTTTTTCTGTTCTATTTCATTTGTTTTAATGCTGGTCTAAATTGATTTCACAACCCTTAGTCACAGTCGTAAACGACACCATAATATAGCGCATTGCACATAGTAGGTGTAACTGTTGTATATATTTAATTAAATTGACTGGCCTTTTGCCAAAATCATTATAGAAATATTGCTGATCTGTGAATGTATTCAATTAATCCATTTTGATTATTATGTTTATTTAGATTTTAATTTCACACAAAAAATCTTTTACATTCTCAACGTGATGCTGTTTTGTTTTAATTTTACATGAGCAAACCAATCTAAGAAAGCAAATGCAATTCATTTTTATCCATTTTTAAAGTAAGAAGATGAAGAAATGTAGTTGTACAATAATTATCATTATGACGGCAAAGCTCCTGAGAGTAATGTATCTGACGTATCATAATTGTTACTATCGACTGAGGGCCAAGTATGTGCCAGGCATTGTGCTAGTGCTTCATGTACATTTCTTCTAATTCTATGACAACCCTACAGGGT